TCAATCACGCCTAAAGGACTCTGTGTGTGTGTGTGTGTGTTATTTACACTATAACATCCACAATAAAACAACACATGGCGCATCGATTTTTCGATGCACTGCTAACATCATTTGGTCCCAAAAGGACTCTGGTTGCACGCCTGAAAGATCAGCGCCAGCCACAAACGTTTCGTATTCAATCAATCACATCCATATCCTATCTTTATCTCAGAGTGAGCACACAATGACATTTGGGTGTGAATACAGCTGTGGCGTAAAAGCGCTCAGTATAGATTTGTTCGCTCAGCTTTTATTGAAAATAAGATACTATGTAAAATGAAAAATAATGCCACGAGAACAGTATCACATCAAGCAGTTGTTATACATTCAACCCCGCCTCCCCCAACAGTATGCATTTCCAGCATGACGTTCAATGCGATATTTGGTCGTCAACCCACCCACCCCCCATGCTACATGAGAAACCAGATTGTGGTCAGAGTAATATTCATAGATCCAGAGAGGAAAACTTTCTACTTAGTTGAGTACTCCTCTAAATTCAATGTTTAGTGAAGCTCAATGTACCAGACATCTTGCAAAGCAAGGTACGGCAAATTGACAGCAAGCAGTTGCGCCAGCACGTGAAAGCTTACACTGCTTTCGTGTTGCTGAAGTGGACAGGTATGTACTCAATACGAAATAAAATGAGTAAGTGCTGTCGAATAAAATGTCGTGACAGAAATTTTCGAAGTAACTGAAGTTTTTTATCACAACAAATGTAACTAAAGCGCGATGTTGGATTCTCACGAACCTGAAAATGATTCGAATCCGGATATTGTTCCCGTCTCTAATCGAGGATGTTACTGATGCAAGTTTTGTTATGTCAATTCTTGCGTCTTGGTACACCTATCGGGTAGGAAATACCCAATTTTTTATTTGGCATTTAAGTTTGGGTGGAATGCAGGCCACACCACCCTTTTCATCCCACGATAAAATAACCAGCATTATGCCGCATGCCAAATATGTGTTCGTTGTTGCGCTCGCATCGAAAAATCCAACTCCAATACTTTCAATTCCGATGCATGACCAATGGCGTTTAGGAAACTCTGGAGCAATCTACGCTCATCTTCCCCTGAAAACCTGTTGCAATATTCAATCCGCTTGTGACCGTTTTGCGGTTGTTTTGCCTCGTCTATCGTGCCAAAGTGAACTTGGACCTATTGTGATCGAAGTTGGTACAAAGAGAGCCCCGGCTAGCGAACCGATCAAGAATAGGGCCCATCCAACCAGATGCGCAGACGTAGTGGCTAGACGTACTTCACGAGACAATATCGAATACCGCTCGAAACGAACGTATCGACCATTTCAGTTCAGTTTGAACAACTATTAACCATGCAATTTCGTGCGCCGGTTTTGGTTGCTATCTTTTGGCTATCCATTGGGATGAAGAATAGGAGAAGAAAGGGAGGTTGAAAGTGGATTCGAAAAGAAAATGGAGAAGTTCAGCGGTCTAAGGTTGCAAAGAAATTGAGGAGATGCACGAACGCCACTGTTTACGACACCCAAC